ATTGAGTTCCTGAATCAAGGGACCACTGTATTCAGCAACTCCACCAATTTTGAGATTAAAAATAAGTCATTTTTAAAAACTTTTGTCAATTTTGGAGATGTGCACAAGCACTAAAGAGGTCAAACTCAGTATTAATATTCAATAAGTTATGAAAGGTTTAGAAAGACAGAAGGTAGGTTTGGTTTTGTTTTTCTTAAGAGAGGGTCTCTTATAGTTCAGGCTGACTTCTAACTCACAGTGATCTTCCTACCTCAGTCTCCTAAGTACTGGGATCATAGGTTTGTACCACCATGTTAGGTAAGAAGGTGTTTTTTGTTTATTTGATTTCTGTTTCCCTTCTTTTGATTATTTGAGACAGTGTCTCACCATGTACTCCAGGCCTTGAATTAGCTAGGAGGCTAGGGTAGCCTCAAACTTACAATCCTTCTACATCAACCTCCCAAGAGCTAGAATTACCTGTGTATACTACCATGCCCATCCAGAAGACAAGGTCTTGCCTAGCTCAGAAGGTGATATTTTAAAATATAAGAATGCTGGGTGTGTGGTATATGCCTGTAATCTCAGGACTCTGGGAGGCTGACACAGGAGGATTGCTGTTTCAAGCCACCCTGGGCTACAGGGTGAGCTTAAAGCCATCTGAAACTGCATAGTTAAACCTTGTCTCAAAAATAGAATAGAACAGAATAGAATAGGAAAATCTCTCATATGCAATAAGAAGGCTATTGCTTTTTAAAAAGGAAAATAAGTGTAAGCAAGGGCATAGGGAAAATAAAACCCTCACATACTTGGTGGTAGAAAGGTAACCTGCTACAGCTGCTGTGGGCACATTATAGCAATTCCTCAAAAATTTAAACACACACAAAAAAATTTAAACACAAAACTACCATAATAGTCAATAATTCCACTTCTACCTTTATAACCAAAAGAACTAAAGATAAGGATACAAACATCTGAACACCAATCTTTACAGTGGCATTATTCACAACAGTCAAAAATTAGGGGAAAAAAACCCACAAATGTCTATCAATAAATGAGTAAATAAATGTCTGTACATAACACCAAATAGCCTTAAAGAAAGGAAAAGAGAGCCAGTGATATACATCTGTGGCATAAGCACCTGCCTGACAAGCACAAGGTCTTGAATTCGATTCTCCATACACACAAATCAAAAAAAAAAAAAAGGACAAGAGCCAGGCATGATAATATACTCCCCAGTCCCAGACACTTGGGAGGCTGAGGCAAGAGGACTGCATGACCCTGGAAACTGCAGGTCATCTGGACAACATAGCAAGACCCTAGCTGAAAAAGGAAAAGAGGTATGGGCGAGATTCTAATATATACAACATGTATGAACCCCGAAGACACAAAAAGGGGCAAATATTGTATGAATCCACTTATGAGGTACTGAGTTAAATTTATAGGGTCCAAAAGTAGCAGTTCCTGGGAAGGGGAAAGGAAGAAACAGAGGTGGGGCTTAATGAACACTAACTAATGAGTTCAAAGTTCTGGTTTGGGAGGATGAACAGTTTTGAATGTTTCTGAATGCCACTGAACTTTACACTCAGAGGTGGGTTAAAGTGGTAATTTTTTTTTTCTTTTTCATTTTTATCGGTACTGGGGATCGAACTCACGACCGCCTGTTGCAAGGCAGGTACTTATGCCACTGAGCTAAATCCCCAGCCCCTAACGTGGTAAATTTTGAGCCAGGCATGATGGCACACCACTTCAATCCTAGCACCTCGGAGGCCAGGGTAGAAGAGCACAATCTCAAAGCCAGCCAGAGCTACATAGAGACACTTTGTCTCAAAAAACTAAACAAAAAGGTAATTTCTTGTTAGTGTACTTTACTATCATTTTTAAAAGAAAAAATTTAATTTAAAAAATGTAAAGAAGCCAATTTATTTCATCTTCACACTCAACAAAAAAATTCAACTAAACTGAAGTGGTTGCTGAGTAGCTACTTTGGGCAAAGTATTACATAGTCAATCCTAAAGGAATTAATTGTCTGGTGATATACTCAGTTATATGGCATTTGCTTAGCAAATACAGGCCCCAGCACAATAAGTAAGTAAGTAAGTAAATAAATAAATAAATAATAAAGCTAAGCATGATGACACACACCTATAATCCCAGCATTCAAGAAATTGAGGCAGGATTGCTGTGAATTCAAAGCCAGCCTTAACTACATAGTGAAAGACTTTGTCTCCAAAAAAAAAAAAAACTTTAAAAAATACAAATCTCAATATTTGCTGTTTTGGAAAAGATTTTTGTGAAAAAAATGTATCACATGAGTGTACTGTCTTGAAATAGACTTTTAAAATTTCTTACAGTATATATATCACATATATGTCTGTGTGATATATGTATGTGTATTACCCCCCTTGGAGGGGGGGTTACTGGAGATTGAATTCAGGATTTCGACCATACCAGACAAGTTGCTTCTGAACTACGTCTCTAAGTTCCAAGAACTTTTCTAAAATCTTTTGAAGCAAGGTCTCATTAAATTGCTCAAGCTGCCTCAAATTTTCAGCCCTGTTTCAGTCTCTCTGGTATGCTCACAGGCATGCACCACCTCACCTAGCTTCACTCATAAACAGCGATAGGTGTAGCCCATATAAAACAAAAACTCTCCTGGGATACCTGTAACAATTTAAGGGCACAAAGGTAGTGGGGCTCGGTGGTAAAGCACAGGCCTAGCATGTGCCAGGCCCTGAGTTCCATCCCCAATCATATAAAAGGAGCATAAGCTAGGTGTAGTGGTACTTGTGACTCAGCCAGTCAGAAGGTCCAGTCAGGAACAAGTCCAGAACAAGTCAAGGCAACTCAGTGAATCCTATTTCTAAAGAAACTAAAAGGGCTCGCGATGCAGCTCAGCACTCTCTGGGTTCAATATTCAGTACTGGGGCGGGGCGAAGGAAGTACAAAAGGCTTTGAGAGCAGAAGTTTGAGAGCTGCTGATCACCTAATGAACATTACAGAAATACAACCCAGGAGGCTCAATTCCAAAAGAAACTGAAGTCTTGGGGTCAGGGATATAGCTAAATGGCATTGCACCTGCCTGGCAAGCACAAGGTCCTGAGTTAGATTCCTGACACCAAGAAAAAAAAAAAAGCTGAAATCTTCATAGAAGAAACACTAACAGAGTCTATATAAGGAATAAATTACAAAAATATACACTGTATATATAATTTAAGGGTGTATGCATATATATATTTAAGGGTGTTTTTTGAGGGGAGCAGGGCAGGAATCCAAGAAAATGGAATTATTTCAATGTGCCTTGGAAAAATGTGAATAGTTACAGGATTACAAACATAAGTAACAAGCCAGGCATGACAGCACATGACTGTAATAACAGCACTGAGGAGACAGAGGCAGGAGGACCAGAGGTTTGAGATCAGCCTGGGTTACACAGAAAAAACCCTATGTCTTGGAAAGGAGAAAGGAAAGAGGAAAGGAAATGAAAGGAGAAAAGTCAAGTCAGTCAAGGGGTTGAGTTTAGTTCAGCATATGAGAGGACCTAAATTCAATGGGTGGGGGGCAAATCAAATCATTTAGGTTTTAAAAATCTTTAATATTCGAGCATATGGCAAATTCATGTTGCTCCAAATGTACTGCAAAACAGGGCTCTAAATAGCTCTTTTGTCTAATCTCCTCCACCTTGTTGCCTTGCTGTCCACTTCCAGTTCCCCGGCAGTCAATGATGTGTTTCTAGAACATACTACAGTGCTTTCAGCTCTGTGCTGCCCACACAAAAACAAAATAAATCCATAATAGGGACCCCTGGGATTGGAAAGGAACCGCCCCCAAAAGCCTAGTGGTTGGTCTCTGAGTCAATCAAATATTTCTTGGAAGAAAGCCAAGCAAATGGAAAACAGACGTTGAAACAAGCCAGTCTACAACTCTGACAATACCATTCTAAAAATGTTCTATATTTTACAAATCTGTAACACTCCTTTCTCTATTTCTCTGTCCCTTTGCTGAAAATAAAGCAACTTTACAATGCTACCATAAAGGGATTTTTTAATGACCAAAAAGTATCATTTCCTTTTTGCTTTGCAAAGATATATGCCAATTATTCACAGTAATAAACAACTATAATCCCTCATGATAAGCTATGTGCAGATATACCGGCTGCCTTACAAAATACTGAAAAGTTGAAAACTACTACGCTCAATTCTTAGGTAAGTTCTCTAAAATCATTTTAGCATACAGTTGACTCCTTACTTTTGCTACTGTGATAGATTTACAATTTCTCAGTACTCTTAATGAGGCACTGTTGAGAATTTCCTATCTGTATGCAATTAGCTAAAGCATTTTAACACACACACACTGACACACACCTTAGCCAAAGCCCACACACACACCTTTAACATGAGGCCAGTTTAAGAAGAAACATGTTCTGTATTTTTATTTCTCAGAAGCAGGACAAGCTTACGATTCTAAAACACCATGACGACAGAATTCCCTCCAAGGCTTTAGTTGTCAAATGATCACATTTCAGCCCTTCTAAATTAGCTCACACCACTCCAATGAGCCTCCCGGGTCCGTTTGGAGAACTGACACCACCAGTAGGAGGCAACCGAGAGAGCTAAGCCCATTGGGAGCAAAATGTTGACAGTTTCTAAGGAAAACTTCCAATTTTCGCGATTTCCCGCTTCCTCCATCTGACCCAAGAAACAACTTATACTGGAGGTAAAATCTAGCGCTGGCTTTCAAATACTTCTCCGCTGGCTGCCACCAAAGCGAGTCATCCAGGGGACAGCACTGATTCCCCAGCTCTTTGGAGGGTGGAACCAAAGCTAGGAGCAGCTGCGAGGAGGGCGCCAGCCAGTCGATCCACTTTGTGTACGCGGACCTCCACCCCGCAAAGCGCGGCTCGCCCGAGCAGCCCGCGCTTGCATCACTTTCCTCTGCAGGCGCCCGGCGAGTCGGGGCCCCCGCGGCGCCGAAGCTGTAAACACCCCCGAGACACTGCCTGAAAAACAAGCTGGGGAACTTACCCAGTTTCTTCCACATGGCGAGGTGACAAGCGAGGAAGCCCTTGCGGATAGCGGCACAGACCTTCGCCGGCTCGGACGAGGTGAAACCCTTCTGCTTCTTGATAAAACCCCATAAGTGCTCGCGGGCGAACTGTGCCGCCTCCCGCCCGCCGTGTCCGTCACACACGGCAAAGAAAGCTACGGAGGAGCGGCGGCGGCAGCAGCGGCCGCCCGGCGAGGCCCCGGCGTCCGGCGCAGGATCGCGGGCATCCCGGGCTCGGCCTGTCCCCGAGACTTCGCCGCCAGGAAAGGCGGACGGCGACGGTTGTGAAGGCGACGGCTGCGACAGCGATCGCCGGGGCGACGGCTTTTCTTCAGCTGTCGGCTCGGGCTCCACCACGATCTGAGTAACGTCCTCCATGTACTTCCTCCCGCCCTGGTCTGAGAAGACGCTCACTCCGAGCGAGTACAGCCCCGCCATCGCCGGCTGGCCGGGATCCCGCCGGTCTCACGCAGCCCGCCGAATCCGGCGGCGGGAGACACACACCCGCCGCTCGCCGGCCAACTATTGTTTATCTTCGACGTCGCTGAGTGGGAGGAGGGGGCGGTCCCGGAGGGGGGGCGCGCGAAGTCGAGACTTGTCCGCGAGAGCTGGGCCAGAGCGCCAGGCTCTAGCAGTCCAGCAGCTGCGCCTGCGCACTGCGTTCCCCCCGCCTGCCCGCGCCCACCACACAAATCAGGCGTTCTCCCTAGCTGGCGTCACTCGGCCTCTGGAGTCGACCAATCAGGAGTCCAGAGAAGCGCTCCCGCCCTCCGCCCCCAGCCTTGGCTCTTCGCCGCCGCCACCGCCGCCGCTGCGCTCCCTCCTCCCGCCTTAGGGTCTGGGCCCGCGCTCTACCCTTTTAGTTTCCTGCTTGCCGCGGGCTTCTGTGCCCTCCGGGTTTTTCTCAGTTACCAAACAGTCATCGAGCGCCGTGGGTCTGTCCCCTTTTTGCTCGGTTGCTAGGGTCGTAGGACTGTCTTCTGACCCTGTCGTCTCGCAGTCCGCTTTGCTGGGAAAGCGATGTGGGTGCGGGCCTCCCGCGAGGGTAGGAAATGTGGCGCGCGAGGCGGGTTTTTGACCTTCCACTCTTTGAACTGAAATGGCGCGAAACTCCCCTTCGAAGGCCATTTGCGAACAGGCTGGAAACTGTAGCTCCGGGAATTGGATTTAGGTTGGACACATTCGACTGGGAATCCAGCAGGGGGGCCGGCCAATTTAGTTTTAGCAAAACTTAGGAAATTTCCACCTTCTGCAGGAAAACGTGGGAAATTTCCAGGTTCAGCTGCGCAGTCGCGTCTCACATAGCCAGGGTATCGGATTTAGGAAAGCTGTACTTAATCCTTCACGGATCTCAGCTTTGTTAGGCGTTGCGCTTTCCCGATTAATCCCCGCTGCAGTTTTTTATTCCTGTAATATCACTGCAAGTTGCCCCTTAAAAATATGAGAAAACTCCGACACGATCTGGTTATTGTCCTCCCTCCACCAGGTGGGTTACACTGCCTGGGTATCCCCAGAGTTATCAGCAAGTGGGCGAATGAGAGTGTTCTCAGCAATAGAGTGTTAATGAATCCATTTAAAATTCACTTTTCCCATATTTTGACCACTTGGTCACTAACTGTTCTATATGTCCCTTCCCTGTGCAGCCTGAGACTTTCGACTGGAACCGACTGGAACCATACGAAGTGGGGAAAATTAAATAAAAATGAAAATGTAAAAAAAAGGAAAAGAAAAATTACTAGAACAGATTGTTCCAGGATGCTAAAATGCCAGGGTAGGAAAGGAAATCCCAGCTTGTTTGTTTTGATAATCATAACCCTATAATCAAAATCTAAAAGTTGTAACACTGGAAGGAGACCTACATACCACGTTTTATAATTGAATAAAAATATACTAAATGAAATGTTAACAATTGTAATCCAGGAACCTCCAAACAACAAGACCTGTAAGAGATAACAGGTTAGCTAGCAGCCTTGTATTATTCAGTTTAAACAGTTTGCCCACCTTTGAAGATTGCTCAAAGGTGGTTCCATCAGGCTTTATAACCCTTTCTCCTGGACCATGAGCAGCACCTCCCGGTGGTCCATCTGTGCTCATCCTGCATGCTGCCCTCAGTTACACTGTTTCCATAGCTCGCCAAGCATCCTGACCATTTCAACATTTCACCAGTCATTTCCCCGTTATTCTTGGATTCTTCCCTAAATGTTTCCATCAACTTCCTGTTCCAACTGAATCCTGTATTAGAGGCTGTTTTTTTCCTTGAATGAGGATTAAATCCAGGACCTCTGCAGTGAGCTACTTTCTCAGCTTTTTTTTTTCTTTTCTTGATTTTGAAACAAGGTCACTAAGCATGGCTAATAAGTCACTAAATTGCTCAAACATAAGAACCTTCTGCCACAGTCTTCCAAATGGCTGGCATTACAGTGATGTCATCCTGCCTGGCAAGAATTTGAATTTTTGAGGAAGGAAGAAAGGGAAGTGACCTGGTGGAAACAAGAGGAGCAGGCCATACATTATAATACTAGTTACTGAGTAGAGAGGATTGCAAGTTCAAACCCAGCCCAGGCAATTTAGTAAGACACTAAATAAAAATTTAAACAACAAAAAGTAAAAGGACTGGGCTATAGCTCATAGCTCTCTGAATTCAACCCCTAGTACTAAAAAAAAAAAAAAAAAAAAAAAAAAGAGGGGCCGGGGATTTAGCACAGTGGCATGAGCGCCTGCATTGTAAGCAGGCAGTCGTGAGTTCGATCCCTGGTACCGATAAAAACGAAAAAGACCAAAAAAAAAAAAAAAAAAAAAAAAAAAAAAAAAAAAAGATAAAAAAAAAATTTTAAATGGGGGGAGGGAGGGAAAATTTAATGAATGTAGCCAGGCATGGTGGTGCATGCCTGTAATCCCAGCATACAGGAGGCAGAGGCAGGAGGATCACCAGGAGTTTGAGTCCAGCCTGGGCTACATAGTGACACCCTGTCTCAAAAAAACGTGGAAGCAGGCTGGCAAGGTGGTGCATGCTTGTAATGCTAGCAATCAGGAGGCTGAGGCAGGAGGATCACTGAGAGTTCAAGACCAGCCTGGGCTACAAAGTGAGCTCAAGGCCATTCTGAACTGTATAGTATGATCCTGTTTCAAAAAGACAAAAATAAATAAATAAATAAATAAATAAATAAAATGTTAATTACTTCTCCAGGATCCTGTCACCTTCAGATCCCTGATCACTCTCATTTATGGCTTATTGTGGTTTGTTTTTTGTTGGCTGCTACTGTTGTTTTGATGGTGGTGGTGGTAATGGGTATTTGAATCCAAGGCCTTCAGTCTAACCTCAGCTTTTCAAAATGTTTTATTCTGAGACAGGCTCTCACTGAATTGCTCAAGCAGGGCTCCAACTTGTAGTCCTCCTGCCTCATCCTCCCAGAGTACTGGGATTAGGGGCATGCGCCACCCACTTCCACTATTCTTGTCACCTCTCAGCCATTTTATTTTTTAAACTGTTATCCACATTTTGCATCTGATAGCTTTGCTTCACAGTTCCTCATCCTTCTCTTCACGATGATATAGCCCTGCTACTATGAAATCCAACTCTTTCATTTGTGGTCTAGATACTTTCTCCTCTTTGCATCAACAATTGGTCTTTCTCCATTTGTGTTCAAACATCACCTAGTTTCCGTCTTACACACACTACTTTAACTCTTTATAATACCCCATTTTGGGGGCTGGGGACTTAGCTCAGCGGCATAAGTGCCTGCCTTGCAAGCAGTCAGTCGTGAGTTCGATCCCCAGTACCGATTAAAAAAAAAAAAAAAAAAAAAAAAGACAAAAAAATACCCCATTTTCCTGTCACAGTAAAAAGTTTTGGAAAACTAAATAGCTATTATCTCCAGTTCCTACTTTACAGGTTTTGAGATAGGGTCTTGCTGGCCTTGGATCACTATGTACCACAGACTGGTCTTGAACCTGCAGTGATCCTCCTGCCTCAGCCTTCTGAGTGCTATGTACCACCTCTCCCGGCCCTAAAGTTTCTTGTAAACCCATTTCAATCAGGAAACCAACTTCATTGAACCCTAAAACTGCTTTTATGATAGAGCCAGACCTGCTTCCAAAGCCAAGGATAACTATTCTGTTACTAACTTCTGTTCTAAGTTGTGCAGCAAGTGGAACCACTTCTTCCTTCTTGAAATTTAGTAGTATATCCAGTCATTGTCTCCTTGAAACTTCTCCTAGTTTTGTTTTGTGTTTTGTTACCGCAGATGAATCTGGGGCATTTTCAGTGAGGTACTTCCCCAGTCTTTGATTTTTTATTTTGAGACTGGAGCTCAGTCACTGAATTGCCCAGATTGCACTCACACAGCCCCACCCTATCTCCCAGAGTACAGGGATCATAGGTGTGTGTCATCATGCCCAGCTTCTTTTAGCTTCTAAGAGATCATACTTTTCTGGTTTTCTTCTTGCCTTATTGACTGGACACCTCTCTCATCTTACTTCTCTGATTTCTTCCTGGCTAGACCTCAGATAATCGGGAGTATGGGGATCATGGCCCTGAAAATTACCTGCTGTAGACTCCCAAATTGATGTTCTGCTCCTGAACTTTACCCTGAACCCCGACTCTGTAAACAGCTACGTACTTCACAGTTCCAAAGGGTTGTCCAATATGCATTTCATCTCAACATGGCTAAACCACTTGATTTCTTCCCTCTACCCACTCTTTCCCACATCAGTAAATGATATTCCCATCCACCACACTATTTAAGCTGAAAAGCATGGGAGTTAGTCTTTATTCCCCTCATTCCTCCACTCTTTCTGAGAAATAGCCAAACTTTTAATTGATCGGCAAATGCTTGTGATTCAAATTTTTTTTTGTATTTTTTTTTTTAATATCAGTACCAGGGATCAAACTCACAACTGCCTACTTGCAAGGCAGGCACTTATGCCACTGAGCTAAATCCCCAGCCTTGTGATTCAATTTTCAAAACCAATTCTAAACCCACTGCTTGTCACCGCCTCCCCACCCCTACCTAGGCCAAGCCCTGTGATCTTTGACCTGGACTACCGTGTACTTCCCCGTCTCACAAGTTTGCTTCTGTCTCTGTTGGTCCTCCTTAATCCTGTCTTGTGCTAGCTACTGCAGTGATTTTTGCAAAACCACAAATTAGATTAGGTCATTAATTCCTTCAAAACCCTCCACGACTTCCTGTTACATTTAAAGTAACTCAGGGGCAGGGTGTTTGCCTAACACGTTGGAGGCCCTGGGTTTGCTCCCAGCACCTCCAGAAGTAACCGGCAAGTTTCCCAGGAAAACCTTCGTCTATTTTGCCTCTAACCATTTGGGGAACACAATTGCATCACACTTTCCCCTTCAGCCACTCTTATCTTCCTTCTGTCCCTGAATATTTAAAGCTGTTCTGAGTCTTGGCTTTTTGCATAAACTGCTCTCCTTCGAAAGAGCTTCCTAGCCCCAGGTGCTTTACAGCACTACATTCTTTTCATATTCAGGTTTAGATGTTAAGATACTTTCCTAACTTCTGTCCAAAGTAGCTGCAATAAATTTCTATCATTACTTCCTGCAGAGGACTTCTTACTATCTGATCTTTTCAATTTATTTATTCCCCAATT